GTCTGCAACCTGTGGCTCCTGGGCCACTGGTGGCTCTTTAGCCTGTTTGTAATGGACAAAAGTTATTAAAAACACAAACAATTTTACCCTAAATATTCAGGTTGCTTGCTAACAGCAAAATGACATTTCACTGTCCTTAAAATCTGGTGTCAGGTAGATGCTTCTTAAAGACTTGGGAAAAAGTAAAATATGGCGACAACAAATGATTTCACTTACTTCAGGACGTAAGCACCGGTTATGTGGACGACGTAAAGGCAAATATAATAGAGCTGACGGGGAATGTCTTCCTGTCGGGAAGAGATTGTTAAATACGTTAGTAGGTGGGAGTGTGTCTTAAAAGGATTAAAAAAAATAAATGAGTGCATCTGATCTGATCTGATCCTGTTACCTTTCGTACTTTTTGGAAGTACAGTTCCGGAATCGCGTGGAGCCAATAGGCAATTTGGCAAATGTAGAAGAACTTGACCTGAAAACTGGCCACAAAGAGGAGATTGTGCAGAAATAAGAGCGTGGCTGTTGTGGTCACACTCAGCAGCAGAGTCACATGTTACGGTGATGTACGGGGGGGCTGGGGGGGACAGACCCTACTGGACACAATCAGGTGGTGCAGAATGATTACCACAACATATTATATATGGCTGTAGTCAACTGTACTCACACCATGTGAGTGTGGGGGTACCCCTCCCATAAGAAGGTCGGATTGGATGCAAAGTCCTCCTAGAAGAGGAGAGAGACAGAAGGAGTTTGAGATAAATGATGGCGTGATTCCATGACCCCCCGATGACCCCCTGGTGACCCCCTGACCCTCTCACCGCCGTTAGGATGCTGCTGCCCCAGACGAAGGAGAACAGGTAGAAGGCAGCGAGTTGGCCCGACTCGTTGAACTTGCTGTGCTTGGTCTTCGACAGGTGCAACCTCCGGTTCATTTTCTGAAACACACAATTAAATATCACACAAAACACGGGGGAGGTCAATAATCATCGCAAACGATAACAAACAATACGACGGTGCTACGGATCAGAGACGGAAAGAGCAGAAACTACGAGGACGACCTGTTGACTCTGATACTCACATCCAGGATGTACTCCTGTATCAAGGCGTGGAGGATGACTGCAATGAGCAGATAGAAGAACACAGTCGCCACATCCTTCGGACCGTATTGGTAAAGATTCACCGGATCGCTCTTCTCATCTGGAAAAGACGAGAACATTTAAAAAACAGTTTTAAATGAAAATAAAAGTCCTGACAGTGTGTTTAAAGAAATTATCTGAGATCATATCTGTAGATCGGACTCACCGAGAATATGGGTTACGTTGTACTGGACTGTGATGAACATGATGGCGAACTTTGCAGTGACCTGGAATACAAAAAAAAAAGAATATGGATAACCATCATAAACTGTACAAAAGTCACTTTTTTTGAAAAGCAAAATTCAAGTTTTAGCTGCAATTCCACTACTGACCAAGAGGGGCTAGCTGCGTAAAAACATCATCATTATCATTTTTCATGTTAAATATTACTATTGCTATCTTTACGAATGTTAATAATAATTGTAAAATTAATACGTAGTCAAGAATTTTTAATGTGTGTTTATACATTTTTACCTGAAAATCTTAGAGAAAAATATACATAAAAAAAAAACTTTTGGAAATATTACCTGAAAATCTTAGAGAAAAATATAAAAAAATGTAGCTTTAAAAAAACAAAACTTTTGGAAATTGGAAATGAAAACAAGTCTTTGAACAGTCATGACGTATTCTTAGTATAACCTCATGTGGAATTTTAACCAAGAAGATTCGTCATGTTTGACAACGTGTTTTGATTAAATAACACTAACTTTAGTTAAATGGCGTGTAAACATAGATATAATCTGTGTTTTATGTCCACAGGTAAGAAGACCACGGTGTCGGGGTGAGTAGGCGTCGTCTCCATGACTTTACAACTGAGTCAACACAGTAGGAGACCGATAACACACCACCTTCAACCGAACAAAGTCTGTCCAGGAGACTGGACCGGACCGGACCGGAGTGGAAACAGAAGGACCCAGAATGTTCCGTGTTGTTTTCGGTCAGGTGTTGATGGTTACGAGGGCTATCTGTTATCAGTCACTTGAGTCTGCGGTGCTGACGCCAAGCGGCTCTTACGTTAACCGTGCACACACACACACACAGACGTAGCTTGACTGGGAAGTTGCTGCTAACAGCAGATACACAGGTAAATAAATGACTAGCCGCGGAGGCGACCTGCTAAAAATGAGCCATTAACTTTGGCTGCGGGCCTCCGCATCGTTGTCTTCGGCACTGGGGAGAAGGGGGACACATGAGACGGGGAAGGAGACACAGACTGAAGCGGCCCCTCCTCCCCCGTCCTCCTCCTCCTCCCCCCCTGGAGAGCTGCTGTCATGCTAACTACAACTCACACAGTACCTCAAACATCAGGCCCAGGAGGATAATCATGGCCAAACATGACACCATGTCGGCGTGATTCTGGATCACAAACTCGTGGCTCAGCACCGGCGGACTCTTGTTCTTCTTGCGGAAACCCATGGCTCTCGAGACGCGCGGCTCTCTCACTACTCCCCTTATCTGGATCCTAGGGCTGCTTGAAGCCTAGCTTCCCCAGCGCGACACAGCTTGGCTGACGGGGGATGCTGGCCCCCGGTTCTGGTCCTGGTTCTGGTTTGGTGACGTTCGGAGCGGAGTCCTTGGATTCAGTGAACCGCTGCTCGTTGGCGTAAAATAAGTCATGAAAACATAGATCGCGGACAACAACCGCTGCACTACACCCACTTTTTTTCTTTTTTGCCCCAGCCTGGTGAAGTCAGATGACAGGCCCTCCCACTTCAAGCCCCCATTCATGAACCACCCAGCGCTGGTGACGTAGAAGGAGAACCCGGGGCGGTGGTGCATTCACGTCCTCCACGTAAAGAACCTTACGTTCGCGCAACGGAGTCACAACCGCGTGAAGTGGACCTGTCACAAACTAGGTAACAAACCTGTGAGTAATTTTAAAAAACTGTTAAATATTCGTTAAACACGGTTTTGTTAATTTTAAATCTTTTAAAATTAGGGCCTAAATAAAAAAAAAACGTTTTTTTGCTGCCACTTAACACTGTTGTTGTAAATATCGTTCATTAATCTGTATTTATTTCCTATTTTGTTCCTGAAATGAATAGGATGGCCTCTGGATAAAAAGTACTCACCGGTGGAAAAGATATCCAGCAGGTGGCAGCAAAGCAGCGCACAGGAACCTTCCATAAATAAACAAAAAATTAAAAAAAATTAAAAAAAAATGATGGGAAAGATACTAGTAGCTTTAGCTCAACCACGGAGTTATTCAAGCAATAAATCAACACATTCAAGTGGGGGAAGACAAGATGGAGGGGGGGGCACTAGTCTGTAACAGTGTGTAATTCTTATATTTAATGGACAATCAGTGCGTACTGTGAATTTGTTTGAAAACTGGAGCTGAAAGCAGAAAAAACGACGTCTTCAAAAAGTTAAAACAAGTTTTGGATTGTTTTTTTTTCAGTAAATTTAAAAGTAAGTGTAAAAATTTATGTATATAATAATCTATTCACAAATCGTCACTAAGCCCGGCTAGCTCAGTCGGTAGAGCATGAGACTCTTAATCTCAGGGTCGTGGGTTCGAGCCCCACGTTGGGCGTTCACATTTTCTCTTTTTTTTTTCCTATGTGACCATTTGACTTTTACTATACATTTTTCATTTATGTATTTAGTCCTCATTTGGCGTTTAAGCATTTAAAAAAATATAAAAAACAAAGACAAACTGAATTTAAACCTGGTGGCTG